GAAATTTCTGTAACTGACCAATAGTGATGATCATATTCTCTGCAGTTCATGTTTTTATCCGTGGTATTTCTAATATACACTGTCGGGACTCACTCGCTAACACGGATCAACACTGTGGAATTTTTCCCATGATTTCACTGGTTTTGAATGCACATTGTAAAGGAATATGCTGCTCTCTGCTGGCTTTTAAAATAAACTACAGACTTCTGACAGACCAAACTAGGAGGATCCATCAGATAACAGCAGTGCAGTGCCGTCAGTTGTTAAGGCTATGTGACCATACACAATACAAGAAAATGCATCAAAAAATAAAGATCACCAAACAAAATCTAAACATTAAACGGGCAAAACATTTTTGTGTCTTCTTTCACTGTTTGTGATGCACTTTCATTGTATCGATTGGAAGATAAAGACAAATAAATTTCAGTATCTTAAGTCAAGATAAGTCACTAATGAAGACTCATAGAGAACAGCTGTACCTCTTTACGTACTGGGAGTGACTTGGCACGGAAAATTAGACTCTGAATTAGACTAGCCCACCAAATAAATAGATTCAAATTTGTAACAAAACACTGAGACAACAAAACTGTGTGGCATTCACCTGATGACATCATACAATAATACATGTGCATGCATTTAAGCAGTTTTGAAATGATTTGATGATGTTCTGATGATTATCAATTTACAGTAAATCAATCAACAACTATTTTGATAATTACAGATTTAAGCCATTTATAAAACCTGTTTTCTTTTAAAGTGTTAAAGTGTTTAATATAATGAAATAAACTTGAAAACTTATTTATGTTTTTAATGACATTCACATTTACACACAATGACATTATTTACTAATAACTTAACAGTAAAAGTAATAAGTCATTACTTCATTTTTGTTAGTTCAGCTCCATCAAAGTTGCATTCAAACAATTTAAAATCCTCCCGCTCAAGTTATACAGAAAACAAAACTCTATGGTATAACAGGCAGATTGTCTGTTTTTTGAGGTGCTGACCATCCATCAACAGCTAGCTTAGCCGTAGTGACAACACATAGTGCTCCATAAGTCCTGCCTTGATGGATACATTATGTTGTTCACACACAGTGGCCACAGTGAGCCAGACAACACACAACATAAGTACAACAACTTCCGAGTTGTTGCTAGATGCATTTCTCCAACAGTTTTGCTACAACTACGGCCCCTGCAGTAAGCAAACACATTCTTGACCAGGCTGTCAACTGAACGCAGAGACCAAACCCATAATCATACATTGTTTTTTACCTAAAATACTAATGATTAAGTAACGTTACATTAAGTCAAGCAGCTGAACAAATCTTAGAGCAAATCAAGACCTGGAATTCCCCCAGAATCCCCTTAACTTAAAATGCCTCACTGCTTACTTGTTCATTTTTACGCTAATTTAAAAATGTAAGCTTGATCTGATCCCTATTTAGACAAATTTAAATTTCGCTCATCCCTGAAAGGAAAATCAATTGATACGCGGACCAAAATGATAACCTTATTTCATATTCACTTTTTCAAAAACAACTTTACAGTGTTTTGCAGATACAAAAAACAGATAAAAATAATTAGATAATAAACAACAAGCGCAAAATATACATTAACAAATATAAATAGATATGTTTATATGATATTACATTAATGCAAAGACATATGTTTATAATAGACTTGTTACTTAATAGACTTGTTAGTTTTACAATAGCACATATATGATATGATTATTTTGCTGCTCCATTTGAATTAATGTCAATATTAAAATTAAACGTTCATATTAAAATGCATTGAAATTACTCATTTTTTGTTGCTGCATATTAATGGCTTTACATGGATACTCTCTATATTTTCTAATAATAATCATTTTTAATACTTTTTTATACTTTTTATGTATTAGTATATACAATATATAAAAATATTATATAATATGATGAAAAACCTAAAAAGTACATATTTAAGTAATGTCAAAAACACAGCTGGTGAAATATGTTGAATATGCTGTTGGGTGCAATTGAGAGCCAAATTAATTCAATATAAAAATTTTATGTAAAATCAATTAAAACAAATAACACACAACAGTCCTCATTTGTGGTATAACATTCTTTATTAGCCATGGTGAGTCAGACACCGACCCCACTCAAAACCAAAGGACACACATCCTTCTCTTCTATCTTAAAAAACAGACAAACACACCCCTTTCTTGTCATTCATAGTTTTATTCTGCTTTGATGCGATGTGGCTCCAATGGACTTTGGGTCATAATTAAACATACGTCTTCTGGAAAGTTCCTCCCAATACTGCAGATTCAGCCACTAAAGATGACATGAAAAGCAATTGTAGTATCCCTTGAAGAAAAACTTAACTGACCACATTCATTTGATGAACTGTATGTACTTTTATTATCAATAGTTAAACTAAAGAAGGTCTAGTTACTGCACACCTGTAAAGTGACAGGTGCACAGTAGGAAAAGCAATGCATCCATCCATCCATTCATCCATTCTGTTCCGTTTATCCACAGTTGGGCTGCGGTGGTAGCAGGCTAAGCAGGGTATTCCTGACGTCGCTCTCTCCAGCAACACTTAACAGCTCCCTCTGAGGGATCCCGAGGCGTTCCCAGGCCAGGTGGGATATGTAATCCCTCGAGTGAGTTCTGGGTCTACCCTGGGTTCTTCTCCCACTCGGATGTGCCTGGAAAACCTACAAAGGAAGGCACCCAGGAGGTATACTAATCAGATCCTTGATCCACATCAAATGGCTCCTTTTGACATGAAGGAGCAGCGGCTGTACTCCGAATTCCCCCTGGATGTCTGAGCTCCTCATCCTATCTCTAAGGCTGAGCCCATCCACCCTATGGAGGAAACCCATATCAGCCGCTTGTATCCACGATCTCATTCTTTCAGTCACTACCCAGAGCTCATGACCATAGGTGAGGGTTGGAACAAAGATCACCTTGTAATCTGAGAGTTTAGCCTCATGGCTTGCCTCTCTCTTCACCACCATGGTCCAGTACAATGTCTGCATTACTACTATAACGCTGCACCGATCCGTCTGTCGCTCTCCCGCTCCATCTTACCCTCACTCATGAACAAGAGTCTAAAAGACTTGAACTCCTTGACTTGAGGCAGCATCTCAACCTCAACCTGGAGGGAGCAGTCCACAGTTTTCTGGCTGAGAAACATGGCCTCAGACTTAGAGGTGCTGACTCCCATCCCGACCGCTTCACACTCGGCTGCAAACTGTCCCAGTGAGCACTGGAGGTCACAGTATGATCAAGCCATCAAAACCACATTGCATGCGAAAAACAAAAATGCAATTCTGAGGTTTCCAAATTGGATCCACTCCTCACCTCAGCTGTGCCTCAAGATCCTGTCCATGAATATCACACACAGGATCGGACACAAGGCACAACCTTGACAGAGTCCAACTCACACTGAAAACGTGCCTGACTTTGTGTTGAGAATATGGACACAACTCTCACTTTGCTAATACAAGGACCAAATGGCTCATAACAATGGACCCAATACCCCTTACTCCCGCAGTACCCTACACACATCTGATGATACGACCATCATTGATCATCGATCTTTGGGCCCAACTACATCTAATTGGTACTGGTCCATCTCCTGCACCATCTCAGGCTACTTCCCCAACCACAGAAGTGATGTTCCCCATCCCTAGGACCAGTCTGCGAAACCAGAGACAAGCACATACAGGTTGCGGTCTCCATCACATCCTACCCCAGGGTCCCCGCAGGTGGTAGTTCCATGAGGTAGTGGCTCCATGTCCATTTTTCAGGCTAAGCCAGCCACTGGACACTTAATGGTGAGCTCCCCTCCCAGGTCTGGCTCTCTGTTAACAACAGACCTTATTTCAGACATCGAACCAGCTGCCAAATGAGTAGGCTAAATGTAAATATAAATGTAACCAAAAACCCATTCAAAAAATCCATCAACTTCAGGACAAGGGAACTGGAAGTGCTAAAATGCTAATTTGACAAATTGAAATTTTGACTTTATTGTGTGTTAGCAGAAAGGTTAAAACAATAAAGTTATTACAGATAACCACCATAGAGTTATTATAAAATTTCATAGCAATACATCCAATAGATGCTGACATTTTAGTCAAAACGTGGCAGTAGATGGAGGTCAAGAAAAACCAAGGGATCACAGAATTCACAAGGATTTATCATTTGGGAACCATGAAAGTCAGGACATAATTTCATGACACTCAATTAGTCTCAACCAAAGTAGTGAACAAACCATGTGACTGACAAACAGACCGACATTGCCATTGCTGGCATGACTAATAGGTAAATAAAACAGAAATCAGGAAGTTTGTATGTTTGAGTAGGATTAAACCTACAGGACACTTGGAAATATATATACTTAAAGCAGTTAAGTAGGTTTTTGAGTAAGTTATACTTATGCTTAGAATGTTTCATGGACTCATAGATCATCAGTGTGTTCTTTTAAAACACTTGCTGATTGAGAAGCCCCCTGACCTACATTCTAAATGTATGTGCTGCCCTCTGCTGGTACGGATAAATAATTACACCTAAAATGACACTTCATTCATGATTTAATTCATCAAATGTATATGGACTGAAAACAAAATTATAATATAAAAGAAGAATGATGTATCTACTGAAATGGAGCATATTTAATTTGGTCACAGTCACATAATGGAAAAATAAAAAAAACTTTATCAATTCCCCCAGAGAAAATAGCTATATCTGCTAATTTATTTTATTACAGCAAATCTATTTACTTACAATACTTTGGAACAATAAATTAATTCAAGTTCAACAGAACTTATGTTAAGATCTACCAACTTCTTGTGGCCTAAAGTTTTCAAATCTTCATAATAGTAACTTATTGACATGACGCAGCCACGCTGTGAGGTTTTGAACGTTGCTCAGTCAGTTATGTAGCCTCGCCCCCAGGCCCTTTGAATCAGTCACCTACAGTCACAGGAAGCCACACACACTGCAGCTATCTACAGGGAGCAGAGAGCACAGAGCTGCAGTTACAGTGTTTGTGGAGATAAATACAGTAAAAGGAATATAATGATGAAGGTCAGCCTGTCAAGTCTGATAACATGTAAGTAAACTCAACAATGCATGCTGCTTCATTTCCTGACTCTCCCTCTGTATCTCTATTTCTGTGCAATTATTTTGTTTAGTGTAAATGTTTTGAAAAAGAATAAGGAGGAGGATAACATCTCAGTGTTGATATTGGTAATTCAGTAGTTATGTTTCGATAGTCAGTTTTTGAAATTTTGACTCTGGGAGATGAAGGGAATACTCATCAGCATTTCAAGTTAACAAACCACCCCAACTACCATCTAAATTATGATTAATATGCAGGTTTCATTACAGAAATAAACTTCTTGCTATCTGATGGAGCTCTAAACTCTGGCTGTTGTTGAAGATCTCTCCAAATTTCATTCAAGTATCAGTTTGAGTGAGACAATTTCCTGTTCAGCCTGTTTGTTTCACGACATTTTCACAATTCAAGTTACAGCATCGTCAAAGACTTTTTAAACTGCTTTAAAGATGGTGTCACTATTTTCAATTTTTAAAAAATCACAGGCTGCTCTCGCTGGTGGATGTTAAAGTGACACAGCAGAATGCTTAGTTGATGTTTGATTGGCAGGGTACTAAAATGTTATTTCTTTTTTTTAACAAGTGAGAAAGTACATGAGATATTTCCACTGGCTGTTTGTTATTTTCACTTTGACTTTGAGTTTGTGAAACCTGTGGGTAGTGACAGAAGTCTTACATAACTGGATAATGTATTGTTAGTTAACGTGTCTCTGGAGAACCCATGCAGGCACAGTGAGAACATGCAAACTCCACACAGAAGAAGAAAATAAAAATAGAATAAAAAAAACAACTTTTTATCAATTCCCAGTGGAGTTGTTCAGCGACTCTCACTAAAAAGATTCGATTTAAAACACTGTGACATTAGTACTATGAAGACACTGAGATCTTGAATGCATCATACTAGATTGCTCCCTTGATTTCCTGTTCACTGAAACAACAACAAAAACTCCCTACATGGTCCTGCTCCACAGCATGTAATTCTGTTGTCATTGTTAAATGCGAGGCCCGTTTGTTTGTTCTAAGACTGATCACAGCAATGAAGTGATGAAAGCGAGTGTGATCAAAAAGGTGAAGCTGAGTTTAAAGTTTCAGCTGCTGAAATTCCTTGACAGACTGCGGTCTCACAGGATAAGGTTCTCTTTATGTTTTGTATTTTTCTTGTTATCAACAAAGACTGAAACCAACAATGTGTTAGTCCATCTCTCAGTACTTTATGACTGCTTGTGGCACTTAGCCTCAAGCCCAGTTGTTCCTGTGAGATGCATATTTTTAAAAACAGCTTTCAAATATGAAAAATATTGAATAATCGCCAGTCAAAAGTACATTTAAGAATTTAAGAGAATTTGAAGCCTGCTGTAAACTCTTACTTTGAAGGTTGCTTGAAGTCTCCTGCAATAATAGCATTGTTTTTACATGTGCTTTTGTTACGTGCACATGACTATACTGCCTGTAGTACTTCACAAGGTCAAAACACTGTGGATACCTGAACATTATGCCTGTATGTGATTGCTAAGCATAGGCATTAATATTTATAATATCATCCAATATTCAGGCTGGAAGTTCCACTCAGTTATGTTAGCCTGGTTTGTTTTTAGCAATGAAGCTATTTTAACATTATGTCTGCTTGCTTGTTTAACCCATTTGTTACTCTGCCTAATACTGTGATTACTGTTGTGCAATTACTGGTGAATTACTTTTTGCCCAATTAAGGGTTGTCCGGCCACCTGGCTGTCTGAGACTTCTGGACCTGACTGGACAATAACCGTAACTGCTGCTAGCTTAGCATTGGTTGGTTTTAGTTAGGGGGCAGAGTTTTACACATTAAAAAAAGCTGCATACTCAAGATTTCATATGCAAATTTTTGTTGGTCTATTATTTTTTTCAAGATAAGCAAAGTGAGATGTACCCTAGTTCCTGTGTCAAGTGCCAAAAACTCTGGATCCTACATTTCCCATAATATAAAATAACAATATATATAATATTTAGTTAATAGCACATTTTTCACAGTCCATGCTCTGGTATGAAGGAGGAGGTCTTCACACGCTTAGATTCATCTCACTGACCTTAATATGTAAAACTGTCAACTGTCAACTGCCCCTTCAAGATGATAAAAAATAAAAAATCTTAAATAAAACCAATGAGATCAAAGATGACAGAGATCAAAAATGTACAGCTGAAAAATTATTCCACATGGTCTCCTAGACTGGGAAAAAGGGTTGATCAGAGCTTCGGGAATGACTGCTGTTTACTCAAGCAACAAACTTTGTCTTGAATTCCAGGTCTACTGCTGAGCCATGCAGTAACAATGTCATCCACCATCACCAATAAGAGCACTCCCCAAATCCCCACCAGCAAAATCTTCACTAGCTCACCTAGCACCACCAGCCTGTCACCTAACACCAGCAACACCACCAGTCCATCACCTAACACCACCAGCAGCAACACCAGTCCATCACCTAACACCACCGGCAGCAACACCATCAGTCCATCACCTAACACCACCGGCAGCAACACCATCAGTCCCTCACCTAACACCACCGGCAGCAACACCATCAGTCCATCACCTAACACCACCGGCAGCAACACCATCAGTCCATCACCTAACACCACCGGCAGCAACACCATCAGTCCATCACCTAACACCACCGGCAGCAACACCATCAGTCCATCACCTAACACCACCGGCAGCAACACCATCAGTCCATCACCTAACACCACCGGCAGCAACACCACCAGTCCATCACCTAACACCACCGGCAGCAACACCACCAGTCCATCACCTAACACCACCGGCAGCAATACCACCAGTCCATCACCTAACACCACCAGCAGCAACACCACCAGTCCCTCACCTAACACCAGCATCACCACCAGTCCATCACCTAACACCAGCAACACCACCAGTCCATCACCTAGCACTGCCACCAGCAACACTATGAGTACCACCACCAGCACCACCTCCAGAACCACCACCAGCCCAACCCAAAGCACAACACTGGAACAGGAGGGACACAAGTCTGAAGCTCTGAGCTCAGGTACATTGCACCCTATTGATTTTTTTTATTATTTTGTTTTAATTTTTAATATTTGCTCTAGTAAAAGTGTAAACACAATATAAAATTTATTATATGGCAAGTTTATGTACAAAGTAATTTTTATTGCTCATTAAAGCTTTATTTTACACTCAGAACATAATAAGGGATAGTAGTGCTTGCTACATCCAAGTGCTTCACTTAATTCTCACATCAGCATGCTAACATGCTCACAATTTCAAAGCTGATGTTCAGCTGGTATACTTACTCCATTCACCATCTTAGTTTAGCATGTTAGGAGCAAATATTTGCTAATGGAGCTGAGGTGTCATAGTTTTGTAGTTTTGCAATCTGCTCAGAAATCAAATTGAAGTTTAGACCAGATGATGGCGTTAGATGGAAGGTGAGGGGATAAATTACAAGCCTCTGAGGACGAATGTCTTAATTAATGTCATGACAATTTAATAATATATATTTTTTTTTTTTGATGAAACCCACTGAGCAAAAGCAGTGATCTCATTGAAATGAATGGACCTTGAGCTAATGTCTGATTGCAGACTTACTTTTTATCACTGAACTAAAATCCAACACAAGCTGCTCTGCTGTCACTTATGGCCTGTGATGTGCAGCTACTCATAACCATTTGTAAAAGCAGTCAGAATATACTGCCAGCAAATGTGTGTTATCTCACACAGCCTTCTATTGTACCACCCATATTTTTATTGTATGTGCCCTACTTAACAAGACACGGAAGAACCAGCAACTCCAGGTATTAGAGTTTGAACTCTGTCCCTTGTGTGCAAGAGCCATAAAGAGTTTCCTTCCTGTTATTAGTAACCTTTCCATGTGATAATCTGACTTTTTATGACAGTGGTTTATGAACTTTTCTATCTCGAGGCAAGATGTACTGTTAATAGTTTTTAGAACTATGTGTGGAATTCTTGACCAAAAAGCCTCCGAAACTAAAGTCAGGAACACAATTGGGAATATTTTCCTGAAGTTAAACACTTAGCAGACTATCAGGAGGCCAGGAGCTATAATTAGACCCTGGTTGCATGTTTGAAATCCAGTAGAAAAGTGATGCAAGTATGCTTAAAGGTCACAAATTTTTTTTTGTTCTCAAAGTTTTTGTCTTTGCACCTGGAAATATGTGCTGGCCACATTCAGTATTTGGGGAACTCCCTCAACCCTTTAGAAATAATTCCATTCTTAAGAGGTTTTGCTTATTATTTACTTATATTAAGGGTATGCAATACCCTTAATATTTAGCTATCTAGCTTTTTGCTAGTGACATGGCACTAGGGATGGCAGTGTTGGTTGGTTAATCACTTTAGTCCAGACCAAATTATCTCCTCACAACTTTTGTACAAAGTTGAAGTTTAGTGCTATAATTAGCACATGTTAGCATGCTAACACAGTAAAGTAAAATGGTGGACACTGTAAACATTCTATCTGCTAAACATTAGTATGCTAGCCTTGTCATTGTATTTGAGCATGTTAGCTTGCTGACGTTAGCATTTAGTTCCAAGCCCCACTGCACTGAACAGCTTCACAGATCAGCTAGCATGGTTTTAGACTTTTAGTCTTGTTTGTACAAAGAGGGCTCCTCATATTTTAGTCACATGAGAAACTTTCCAGGCAGACGTGGTTCAACAGGGACTCAAATCTGGCAGCCCTGGCTACTGGACTCATTACAGACCTGTGATGAATAACTCATCAAAAATGACCCACCTGCAATGGCATAATGGCCTTTATTTGTCAATGACAGCAGAGAGAAGACAAGAAATGAAGAACACAGAGATGCTTTGCAGCATCCCCTTTAACTGGTTTAACTCATTAAATTTTAGCTGGTCAGAGCATCTTGCGTTGGTTTGTTGTTGCCTGCAAAAGACTAAAAATGTCTAACATTTGCATCCTGATGTAGTTTTGCAAGTTTAACTTTTTATTACATAACTTTTTCATTACTTTTAGCCTACTGCCTTCAATACAATTTAAGTCAGCAGTTGTTTCCGCATCATCTGGAACAGGGGTAAATTTTCAGTCTCAATCTATGCAGTGTGTAGCATAAACCTTGATCTTGAGTCCAAAGATCAGACAGCTTGTTCCATGATGAGCTTTTGGTTGACAATAAACAGGTCATTTGTTTAAGATAAGGTTCCACATTTTGTTAGAGCATCCAGCTGTAAAGTCCCCAGATTCTTAAAATGCCCTTCCAGCATCCTGCTAAAGTCATCTTTTGAGTGACCTTGACTATGAACTCAGAAGGAAGTTTTATTGTTCAAAGGGATATTTATATATTTAATTCTTCTCTAGATAAGGGGAGTGATGTGGAGTGTGACACCTATCCCAACATTTTACTGGACCTGAGTCACACACAGATAACCAAACAGCAGTGTGTTGTTCCAGTTCCGCAAAGAGATTACTAATTAATGCTAAAGCACAAAGGTCAGTGTGGTCTGTAGCGGAAGAAGTTATCTTAAGGTAAATGGTACATTGTGGGGAAAGGCAGCCATCAAGTCTTACCTGAAACAGAGTTAGAGATTTACCAGGAAAACAAGATTAAAGTTGAGAAGTATAGAAGTGGATGTATAATCAGCCTTGACACGTACTGTAAGGGTTAGACCAATCAGGGAACTATGAAGTGTGCTTAGATGATGTCATGACTTGCATCCTCATGAAATCCCTGGAGGTCATTAAGACATTTTTAGACACTGTAACACAAAAAGAATGACCCAGTGAAGTTTTGTGAATGCTGTAGTCTTTTATTGATTCTGGCTCTAACTATATTTTGCCACTGCATTTTGTTGCCTGTTGTTTACAATAGAGTTCAATTTTTTCTGTGGCTTTTGTGGTCTTTTTCAAATAATATGAAGATATGAAATAAGTTATGCTAAATGTATGCATCTCTCTTTATTATTAATTATAATTATTTTTCAGTTGATATCATCTCATCAATATGCATCTAAATCTTAATCTAGACCCAGACAGTCAGTCAGTCAATACTGACTCTCTTCAAGAGAGAGGAGCTGAGGTCTGTCCAAAAAGTCACAGGATTTGTCACTATGTGATTTTATGAAAGAGAAAAAGTCAGTAAAAGAATCTTAAAAGTCACCAAACCTATTGAGAAAGTCAGGGAGAAGTGATTCATGATCATTCCAAAAGTAAATGAGATACACAAGCCGGAGATATATGGTTTAAGTTGGTAAGCATTGTGTATAAGAAGGAAATGACACAGTGAAAAATGAACTAAATGAAGTAAGAAAGTAAGGTGGTTGGAAACACCTTGGACTAAAACATACTTTTAACCAACCATGGATAAATGGATATTTTGAGACTTAATGTATCTTTGCTTTCTCTCTCTCTCTCTCTAGGAGGTGTTGCAGCCATTGTTATTCTGTTCATTGTAATTGTCATCGTAGTGTTAGGTGGGCTGTACTACTTCAAGATCCGGTGAGTGCAGAGTTCAAACAAACATACAAATTGTATCAACGTGCAACAACATGGGCACGAAGGTCACACATGCTGTGGTCACTGTCCCTGCCTACTTCAACTAGCTAGAAACTAGTTGCTATTACAATTGTAACATTGTAATATGTTACAATGTTACAATATCTGTCCCCTCAAAAAAATTGGGAAAAAGACCTTCAAATCACCCAAATATACAACTCATACAAGACCATCCATAGAGTACACTGGGGCTGCCACATCCCACTGTCCCCCTCATTGTGCCTACTAGGATACATATCTAACAACACATTGAGTAAAATACTCTCCATAGCCCTAACCATCACCAAGAAAACCACACTAACATTACTGTTACACTTGTCCTCACACAAATCAGAAAAAAACTATTCTTTAACTGCAGATAGTTTGGGTTTTATTTATTTATTTATTTATTCATTCATTCATTCATTCATTTTTGTTTTTGTCTGAAATGTCTACCTGTCTTCCATTAGTAAAACTCACATTATTGACAAATCAACCATGTCCCAGTGACTGAGGAATGAAAATAACCTAATTTAATTCGATCAATGAGCAGTGCTTTAGCTACTTTAATTTCCTTTTATTCTTTGTGAATAAGTCTACTGTCATCTAATCTTTGTTAGAGAATATATTTGATACTTGTCATATTGGTAAACTGAAGTAAATGTAGAGGACTGACCCTTTATTTATTAACTTTTTCTCTGCTTTGTGATATCAGACGTAGATCCTACGGTCCTCTACTGGACACCGACTTCAACACTTTCGAAAACTTCAGCAACCCCATGTATGACCCCTGAATCTTAACGTTTGACCTCCGACACTGGAGGTGACCCCACAAAGTCCTCAGTCTGATCAGTGTTCTTATATGTGTGTGTGTAATGATTTCAGGACAATCACATTTTATTACTGTGATATGCGGCTTGATATCTTGATTACACTCAATTGCGAAACAAATGTGACATTTCTCTTGATCTTTGTTCAAGTAGCCTCAATTTTACTGGTAAACATGAGAGAGCTCTGGCTGCATAGACACAGAGCATAGTCATATCAGAATAACTGAAGTGACAAAACAACCCTGTTTATCAGAGGTAACGTGATTCTCACATGATATTTGTACATATTGGATGAAAAACATATTTTTGTACAAAGAGAGGTGGATTACTGTATGTGAACTCAAACAGGATGTTGAGTAAAACTGAAGAAGACCTGACAATGAAGCATAAAAATTTACACAGTCTGGGAACAACGATGGAAAAACTAGAACAACTAATTGAGCTGATACTGCAGCAATGTGCAAATCATGTACAGTAGATACATCATGACTTTTTTCATCATTAATTGTTCCTGTTAGCACCTGCTGAGATACTTGTTCCTGATTTAAACTATGGAATGATGATTTTTCTGTCAGAAAAGCAGATGTTCAGTTATTCAAGTTTTCAGTCATCAACTTAAATGTACCCGGTGAGACAAAGCCCGAGGCTTAGAGAAAACTCATCAAATTTCCTTTTAGCTTTCACAGATCAGGAGGAGGTAGCGTTATGTTGTTGAAGGAAACTGAAAAAAAGAGCTGAAAAGGTTGGCGAGGACACAGAGTCCTTGAGCAAAACAATGAAACCCCTGCTGGTTAAAGTGCTGATCAGCTCCTGACTATTTAAAGGTGCGTTGTCAGTATTGAATGTTTAATTGAATGTTGTTGAATGTTGCTTTGCAGCTCATCCAGGCTGCATTTCTGATTGTAATTTTCATTTCTTTAGTACTTAACACAGTATTGTTTGACTGTATTTAGGTAGAAGAATAATTTGACAGTATTTTGACATTGTACTGTATTGTATTTTGTACATTTAAGTGATAAAACAATGATGTGAGTGACTGTGATGGTCATAAGAGAAACTTTAAGGTTGGTGCTGTATATACACACTGATATGAGTGATATGAGATGAATGGCACACACAAGCATTTATGTGACCTTTAGGGATGAATTTGTTTGTTGGTCAGCTGGTCCACCATGAAATATGCCAACAACTAGAGGATGGATTCCCATGAAAATGCATACTGACTTTCATTGTGCCCATAGGGTTCATCCTTATGATTCTGATGAACCCCTGACTTTTCCTGTAGCACTACCATGACATTCATGTGGCTCTGTGACTTGTCTCCACCTGGAGAAGCTATTTATGATCCCGGGAGAATCACTTGCTTGTACTTTTGTGACTGTAATAATTGTAATAACTATGGAGATCCTCCTCCACTTTTCATCTAGTGCCAAAATTTCACTCTGTCCAAAACTTTGGTTTATGACCAGATACCTGCAAACTAATGAAGTCCTCATCATCCACTGTGGTACTTTGGGTTTACTGCTAATTAATATATGTTAATAATTAATAATGTTAGCATGCTGACACACTAAACTAAGATGGTTAACATAGTTGACATTATACAAGCTTAGTGTTAGCACAATAACACTGTCATTGTGAGCATGTTAGCTCAAGTTAGCATTTAGCTAAGTACAGCTGTTCCTAAGTACAGCCATATGGAGCTGCTAGCTCTATACTCAGTTTTCTTGTGTTTGGGCTCATGTGGGTTTGTTTGTTGGATTTTAATAACAAGAACAAAAGTCCTAAGCTCTGTTAGCGGCTTTTGTGCGGCTGCACAAAAAAATCTATAAATAAAAATCTCACATTCCAAAGTTACTTACTCAGTAGTAAATGTCATGTCAAGTACATTACTCAAATGCCAAATCCTCCACACCCACAGATTTTGTATTTAACACATCTACATATAGAAAATATGATATTGTAGTTCAACAATTAGGAGGGATTTGCTGACCACCCCAGAACTAGCTTAGCCTTGGTAACTGCACGCAGCTCTCCAGAAGTCCCAACCTCAGCAGCACAGTGACGCACCCTCCAACTCTGAACAAAACTAGCTGACTCCTGAATGTACGTGCACCTGTGGCCAACATTTACATTAATTGTTGGCCACTTAGGGACAGTGCAACCAGTTGCAAATACAACTTTGACACATTTGATTTTGAAGGGTAATTTTAACCAAGCCGAGGAACACAGAATTTGAAATTTAAAGTACCTATATTGTATAAAAGGGAGATATCCATGTCTTGTTTGATACTGTTGCACTATTAATATAGAACCTAGACCTGCTTTATAATCAAAGCACTCAGTCCACAGAGAAACACACACAGCCGTCAGGCCTACTGTAACCCACCTGGACCCACAGTCCAACCTCAAAGAATTTGTTTTTCCTGAGTGTTTTCCTGAAATCTGCTATATTTTGTGTTTGATCACTTAGAAAACAGTCAGTCACCATTGTTACTAGCTCCAGAGAGAAGGCTGAGAGAGGAAATGTAAAACTACATAGAGATATATTTTCTTATGGATATCAAAACACTGGAAAAATTTAAAATATGGGATCTTTAAAGACCTGGAGTCGCATTGCGACTCCCAGACCAGTCTGTCCACTATACACAGATACAACCGGATGGATGTCGATCAGATATCAACCCTCCACCAAACTCCCAGTCAGGCAGCGTACAAGCAGACCCCCAAATGTCAAAGTCACAAGGCGTTGACTGCTATGACTGGGAACGGTCATATAATTATTGAAGTTCAAATTGTAATTCCTTGAACTACTCATTGCTGGAAAAAGGGGATCACATTACTTTTACTTTTCACTAAGTAATGTATTACTGCACAATGCTGCTGATAGTAGGGTAGGAACCAAAAATCAGAGCTCACCATAAACATCAGGCTTTCTCCGCTGGGGACCATAGCTATATACAAGTGATGAAATGAAAATCCTGCTATTAATTTTCAAGATATTTTGCTTTGAATCAAAGTTGCAATGAAACAGTTGGTGCAAGTTTTGTTTTTAGACTTTTGTTAAGCAAAACACCAAACATTCTCTGTTTATAGCTTCATTAATATGAGACTTTGTTGCTTTTCTCTGTTTCATCTCTATATCACTCTAGACATAAAGTGGTGGACTCACAGCACATGTATCAACCAGCATCACCACCTGTATATACTGCTAGCAAAGTTTAAGAACTAATACATTTTATTTATCATATCTATATATATCTATATATTTAGAGCTCCCTCCAGTCTTGTCACAGCAGAATATAACATTTTATACAACAGTTAGCACTGACCAAGTAATTTGATTGGACAAGAGTCATTCCATGAGTGCTGATAAAGAGTATAACTGAATTTGAATTGAATTATTTGAATTAAATGATGTCTGGTTGTCAGAAGAGGATGAAGGGAAGAAACCTGGATACTTCAGCGCACACCTGAGGTAATGTCTAGACAAAGTAGCAAGCTAGTGTGTACTGCGCACAACATGTGTTGCTTAGCAACATTCCAGCACCAGTCCAGTTGTGGAACTATTTGTGTTGGTGTAGCCAAATAAATGATGAAATAAACAAACACATCATAATCTGTTGTTGCTTATTTAACTTATATGGTGCTCGTAGAACTGTTGTAAAAAAAAGTAATATCACAGGAGAGGGATACAGGCCATAGGCCCTGGACCTGCGACCGAATCGCAGCTGATATTCAGTAGCCTGCAACATCACTCCCTCTTGTATGATATTACTTAAATATAACACACACATTTTACAAAACAACCATATGATAACTTTTAGAATGTAAAAGAGGTGTTAGAGGACAGACACATGAAACCAATACAATTATATGACAACACAGTATGTGTATAAAACACACATAGATACTGGGGTTCATCACGTTGTCTTCATCTCTGCTCAACGGGCTGCAGAGTGTTTATTAGTGGAAGCTTTAATAACAGTCCTGTCATCGCTCCCCGCATCCTAACTGCTTCCATTCTTCCTTTTTCTCAAATGTTTTCCCATGATGCCCTCCTCTCCTGCCTACGCTCTCCATTTCTCTTCCTACTTTACCCCATTACAGCTCCCCCGTGTAATTTTTCTAACCCCCGTCTTATTTCTTCATCTGCATTCTAAAAGAACTCTAAATGATTCTAAAAATGTCAACTCCCACTTTGTGATAAAATTAATGTATTTTATTGCAAATAAAACTATTTATCTTTTGTGTTAAAGTTTATGTCTTGTTGTATTAGCTCTACATCCAAATAAGTATTCCTTAATTAACATTTCCAACTAGTTTTCAGATGCTTGAATCAAGTAAAAGTAGAAATACCATAACACAAAAAACTCCACTACAAGGAAATGTGTGTGTCATCAGCAAAACACAAAACATGTTTACATGTACATTTGAAAACCACTAATTAAGCTGAATGGCCTTCATCTGAGTCTTATAGTTATACTGTAATTGCACTATATTATATAGACTATATTATATGGATTACCAACACTGATGGAACAGCATTTTAATATCTTAGCTTGTCCAGGTACAGCTGAAAATAATATACATTTTGGTAGTTTACATCAATGCATCTTAAAAAATAGTATGAATTTAAAATTTTATTTGAAATAAAAAATAATGAAATAAAAAAAAGAAAAACATTTAAAACAAACAAATCGAAACAAAACATAACAAAATAAATAATAAACAAAAATAACTTGGTAAAATGAAGCTTTCAAACAAGTCTATGTGACTTCCACTGAATAGCGTAGCCTTGAAACAAAAACCCATCAGTGAGCTCATGTTTATTCACTCTCGAGTTTGATATGATGTTTGATATGATGACTGACAGAGGAGCAGAGTTAAAGAATTTTCCTCAACAAGCAAGATGGCTGCCACTGATGTGGAGAGGTCTGTTAAATTTGCTATAACAACAGCATTAAAAGAACCGCTATATTTTCTCTTAAAAAAAGAACAAACAACTGAACTTAAAACATTTGTTGATAACAAACATGTGTTTGCCGTACTATTGACAGGATGTGGTAAAACTTTAATTTACAAACTTGCCCTGCTCTGGTCTATGCCACATGCTTAGTGACTATGACTGGTTTTAGGTCTATCCAGTTGCATCCAGAGACATGTTGATATATGGCCGCTGATAATTCCCCTTGGAAATCATAACTGAACTAAGAGGTTCCATACCCTCTGGTGATGCCAGGCTCTGAACCAGCAGCTGCTGTGGCCACAAGTGATGAGATTTTCTTAGATTTCATGAGTTACTTGTTTTATTCTGATAATACTTTATTTATCATACTGATAAATGTTTATATGTGACATGTTAAAACATGGTGTAACAGTGGCTCTAGTAGATAACAGTCAGTAATGTTACACATCAATAGCAAAAGTGTGCTAACATAAGGCACCATTAGCTACTGGTCATAACAGACATTACATTACATAACATGATATGATATGAAATCTCAATCTGCAAAGTTACAAGTGACTATAACTGCAAATATGTGTTGAAGTAGAAATATAAAGTCAGATGAAATAGAAATACTGAATAAAATAAGCAATAAATGTACTTAGTTACTTAGCACCACTGGTACACAACCTCTCTATTTGTCGTCATTACTGGGCAGCAGAAGTAATAATAGAGGGAGCAGATTCTCATGCTACACTGTTATTATCAGGCCCTAAATACTCTATGCAGTGTGTGTGTGTGTGTGTGTGTGTGTGTGTATATATATATATATAATTACACTGAGGGAAGGGCGGGATCTTTGTCTTTTTTTTACATGAGAAACATCTGGACAGTAAAATTCCAACATGATATACTGCACAACGACTTTTACTTTTAAAATAAATTCACCATCTGACAATTAAATGATGTAACAAATACAGTCCTTAGCCTGAGCCACCGTTACTTGACAGATTTGACAATAAAAAAAAGGTACAAACTCTGCAGTAAGTGTCAAAAAAACTGGGATTACACAAAGAGTCAGGTCAACTATGCTCTCTATTTTTTATTCTTGATTGGATAACAGAAGAAGTAGTAGGAAAAAAAGAAGAGAAGGAGTAAGAGTAGAAAAAAACTGCACTGTCTGTGTGAAATTTGATGAATTGTCAGGTGGTTTTCCTTTAGGTCAGTCACTGCCCCCATTTCAGATATGGTGTCACACTATTCATGCTATGAGAAACAGGAAGACGCTTTTTCCTTTCTCACTCAAAGCTCACAACAGTTTGAAACCACAGACTGATGAATGCAGTATGAATTGTATGCAGTATGAAAACAGATGAGGATGTTCAGCGTTTGAGACTACACCTTCTCCTCCTTTACAAGATTTAGAGTTAGGGTCTTTTAAGGCGCTGTAGCAGCTATAGTAATAATGGGAGCAAAGAAGGAAGTCAGGTAATGTTGTTACAAAGCAGGAGCAGGATGGATGGGTCAACAAAAATATGACTTTAACCTGGTAGATTACAGCTGAGCCTGATGGGAATGTCATGAATTTTGTAGGTTTTTATTCATAAACCAAGGTATTATAAAAAAAAATAATAATAAAAAGATTTGACTCATTTGTGGGGATGGATGTCAGTGGATCACCAAAGTCAGTAGGATTCATCATCTGGGGAAAACTGTTGCCAAAACTTGAAAAGATAAATTTACAACAGAGATTTTCAAAATAAATGATAAAAACTGATATAAACCGAAAGGTTTATCAGTTGGTTCAATACAGGCAGCATTTATGAAGGGCAATAAATTTCAAATCATTTCTGACACTGCTAAAACTACTCACCAACACACACACACTGTGCTGACACAAGTCTA